TAATTTTGACAATCCCCCAAATCCAGACCATCTGAAGCTCTACACGGCGGAAGGGTTTAGGGGTCTCGGGATTAGGTTTAAGGGTTTATAGGGACGTAAGGGTGTGCCGCCTCCCAATCGGACTAACCTCAGAAGCTCTGAGTGGATGCGGGCTCCAGAACTTTGGGGTTCTGTTTCTATAGTGCAACTGTATAATCTTTCTTGTGAGGACGCAAAAAAGCGTCCTCAAAATATATGGAAACCATCATATGCGGCTGAAGGGAGATTCGAAGAGCCCCGTGGACTGAGTCTGCACAGATCATCTTGATTATCTCCAGACTGAACTTTGCCTACAGGGAGTGGGGGAGCGAGCATATGTACAATCATAGGTATACATGGGGAATTATACATTAGGGTGTTATCTGGATCCACTCCCCCACCCTCCCTGAAGCACCAGTGTGTTTGAGTTTTGTCGTGGCACAATGAAATTTTGCGTTCTCGCTCTGGCTTAGGATATATGGAGGCCCCCAGAAAAGTGTGTGTGTGTGTTGCACCCATGCAGCTCGACAATAATTGCCTCTCCTGAATGTCCTAGCCGTGGTAGCACGTGTACGCTGGGGTATGGTACAGATTTGACATTGGGGTGGCTAACATCAATCAATCGGGAGTCAGCACTACTACCAGTATTACTATTGTTACTACCACTATTGTTAAGCCCCTAAACTTAGATTGACTTCTTGAACGGTAACCCAAATTGCTGTTATTACTGTTGCTACTACCTAGAGGGTGCCTCCGTGCAGAAGAATGAGACGCGGCTGCAACATTGCCTCACGGTGAAGAGCTGCGAAAAGTAACATAAATCATGCTGTGCAGCTGACTGTTTGCTACAGAGGCCGAAGGTATGGGGTCGCAATCTCACAGTAGTGCGCGGCAAGAAAATTCAGCAAATTCGTGGGCTGGAGGTCGAGTTTAAAGTTCAGGGCTGTAGGGGAGACTATGGGATAGGCATCCTTGACCACTACCAAGCAAATGAAGTTCAGACGTGTCCTTGCTTCAGTGAACATAAAAATATTACATCCGTGTAGTTTCGAACTAAACTTCGTAACTAAAGTAACGGGTAGACAAGAATCCGCTGTGCATGCAACACATTTAAGCAAACGGATTAGGTAGTCGTCATAAACAGTGGGACCCCAATATGCTATTATCCTTACTATGGGGACCCCGAAAATGATATCCCTAAGTGTAAAAAAAACATTTGCCCCGGGGCCATTTGTGGCAAGGCGTCTGCTCTCAACCTCATACAGCTTAATGTTGACTTCACATGAGGAACTGCCCCTCCGCCACTCCCACACATTTACAAAATCCCGCTGCCGGAAAACAATGATAACAACCCCCACAGTTATAACATCCCGGCCCAATAGGACTTTTAGGGATTGATGTTCAGAGCTAGTTACTATCACTCCTACTCCTTCTACTCTTTTTACTCCTTCTACTATTCCTCCTCCTCTTCCTCCTACTCCTACTACTAAGAATGAAAATAATCATACTCATGCTACTTCAAAAGCATTATTTTACATTTTTATTCAGGGGATTCCCAGCATGGAGATAGATCAGTGAAGGGGGGGGAGGGGGGGGATTTATTAATGCGAAGTGAACATTAAGTGGACGACCCCCATGTGTAATAGTGGTATGCTAGGACTCTCAAAGGACCCTGGTATGATCACCAGTACCCCTTATAGTCACTATTGCTGGGTGGGGGGTCCAACTAGTATATAGCCCACCGTCAACAGCCACAAAATGCGTTTTTGGCAAGGAGCTCCTGAGACAACAGATCTTCATCATAGACCCTTAGGCCTCTGTTAGCGTCTAGGTAGGTTTTTCAGGAAAACACTAATTCTGTTTACGCTCGTAATTCTAGAGGGATATGGATTGTAACCTGGCTGTAACTTGAGTGTTTCCCCAAAGAGCCCACTTCCCTCTTCATTAAGGTATCTACCCTAATTCATCCCAAGCACCCTGGTAGGATTTAAGGTATATTCCTTGACCAAAGGGTACTGGGCTCCCTCATACCTAAGCCCTATAACCCTTACACCCCACACGCTTAACAGTAAACCCTAAACCCTAAACCCTAAATCCTAAACCCTAAACCCCAAAAACAGTATTGGGCTCCGTGGGTTCCTAGGTAGGAAACGGAAAGCAGCAGGCGTTTCTGCTGATGGCTGCCGGCGGCTCGACCTCTTGCATCTGCCAGCTGGGATAAAAGTGGCTTTATGGGAGCTATCAAGGGTTTTAAGGGACTATAAAGGGCTTGAAGAGGCTATAAAAGGTCGAAAGGTTTAGGGTTCAGAAAGCTTCGGGTTTGGCAAGGGGAAAGACAATCAGGCATTGTAGAGAAGGAAGCCCCACGCACTTCTACCTCTGCCAGGTACAGACACGGAGTGACTCCCGACATCAGTCGGTTTGCATAGAGAAGGATTTCGGGTTTGAAAAGCTCATGGCAATAAAACGAAAACTACTGAGCTGCTTTAGCTTCCATACATAGGGTGGGGACCCCAATGAGTCATATAGGGACCCCACAGAAGGTACCCTTAATCTTAGCAACCTCTAAACCATATAGATACGTACCCAAGCAACTTAGAAAACAGCTATAATGTAACCCCTAGAAAACCTTTTGTACGCACAGGAACTGTAGGCTCAAGGACTAGAGTGGAGCTGGGAGGTCACCCTCTCTAATCCTCTCCCCCTAAAATTAAACCCCTCCACCTCACCTCCTGGTATTCAATACTCCCAGTATACTCTAATACACCATGGGGAGTACTTAGTATTAGGGGCAGTGGTGGGTTTAATATTATACTCCCCCTTAAGTAGATAGAATATGGGGCATATGGGGATCTTATTATAGTATACCCCAAAACCATCTTCTATCTACTTAAGGGGGACTATACCCCTAAACCCTAACCCCTAAACAGTAGCTTCCATTTTCTTTTTCATTATCCCAATATAACCCCTGTATAACCCTTATATAACCCCTATACATTATACATATCTACTTAAGGGGGACTATAAGGGGGAGAGGATCTTCTCATGGGAAGGCTCCTGGAGCGGGTTTCTTCAAGCATCCTAGGCCTTGACCGGAGTTTTTAGCCAAACCTGCCTGAGAACACCACAAAAACATTGAAATTGTGGGTTGTGACTTTTTTTTGTTTAGGGTTTAGGGTTAAAACCTGAAATTTTGGGTTGTGACGTTTTTTGTGTTTAGGGTTTAGGGTTAAAAATTGAAATTTTGGGTTGTGACTAGGATTATAACCCTGGGGATCCAAATAGCCCAATGTAGGTAATATTTACAGACTTTGGGGCCCAATGTAGGGATTATTTGTATACTTGGATCCCTAGGGCAATAACAAAAATACACTGTATTTTGGAGGCCCCTATATTAAGGAGTATATTGTTTGGGGGTCTAGATCGGGCCACTGAGCTTTAGTCTAAACTCCTGAAAAGAGGGTTATATGGGTGGTTGTCAAAATTATTGCCCCTTTTGGGGTACCCTAAATATTAGGTGCCGTACCATAATCTATAGCCAAAAGGGGCCCATAATTTTGAGAACAACCCATATAGGGATCACCCGGCAAACCTCTTGTGCATCCTTGCATAGACTTTGCACACCAGGCTTCTTCAAAGCAGTCATCTAGATGTTTAGTGTCGTCCCTTGCGGGGTATTGTACGCAACTGCTGACTTGAGGCAGCATGCCGTCTTCAGCATTTGTCTTGCAGGCTCCTGACCCTGCAGTTCACGCAAGCTGAAGCTTCGCAAGCTTAACCTACCGAAGCCTCTGCGACCGGGATACTCCGAACCATAGATTCATCTATGAGTTTCGTCACCAGCAATTACATTGCAGCTTAAAATGCTTCATTCCTGCTACTGACTTCTACAGGTAACAGGCTGGCACTCACCGACTTGAGCAACCTCCAACAGCACTGATTATGCCACCTCTATTTCTGCTTCATCTGACATCCCCACTAGTCGTTTCTAGTCTCACTGCTCTTTTTTCCAATTATTCGAAGGGCACTACATCTAGAGCATTGGTCTGCTTTGTGGGCTCCATTGCCGCCAAACGGCTGAGCCGAAGCTAGCCCGTGGGCAGCCGCAATGCCATGATCCTCCTGCAAACGGAAAGCATTGGAGAAAGCTCCTTGGTGTGAAAGCATTGTAGACGCGAGCTTCTTTGGAAAATGGGGCTGGGAAAAACGAGCACAGGCGTTTGGAAAACTAGCCGTTAGCTTCAAGGACAGCAAGATGGGGCCCTGAAACTGTCGAATCAATGTTCATGAAAACTTCTTTCCTGTAGCTGCCACAGATTCGAGAAGCACAATGAATAACATCCACTGTGACGTGATCTCTGCGATGCAGATCCATATCGGCGTCCCTTCCTTGGTTGGGATTCAAGGCAAGCGAACCAAATTAGACCCTTCGTTTTTCGGGTGCCCTTTCATTTTGCAAGGTTTTTGGCCATTTGGGTGTTGTACTAGTTTGGCGCCGTTGATTTGGGGTTCCTCCTTTGTTTTAAAGGTTTACAGTGCAGCACTAGACTGCTCCGAGAGTACTGGCTGCGGTGCCTTTTTTGCAGTGGCTAAAATATTGACCTCAGAAAACTACTGTAGTATGTTGGCGATGGGCTCTTTCTCTGCATGGGGGGCCTTCTGATGGTCTCTGGCGCCCCCTCCCAAAAAAATATATATATATATATGAATATATATATATATGAATATATATATATATGAATATATGTATATATATATATGAATATCTATATTTATATATGTGAATATACATATATATATATTCATATATATATATATGAATATATATATTATAAATATAATCTCAAGATCCGCCGAGGTGCATGGAGCACTTGCTCACCGAAGGTCAGCAACATCTGCACACCTCAAAGCCAGGGTGGCTCCAATGTTAAAAAACCCCTATATTAAATCTTATAGGGTTCCAGGTTTAGGTTTCAGAATTTGGGGTCAGGCTTTAGGTTTAGGGTTTAGGCTTCAGACTTTAAGATTTAGGATTCAGGCTTTGGGGTTTAGGGTTTAACTGTCTAAGCCCTATATTATATATCCCTAAATAACCCCATATACCCTCTATGTATTTTCCATTTTCTTTTCCATCATCCCCTATAGAACCCCTATGTAAACCCTATAATACCTATATAGCCAGTTTCCATTTTCTTTCATTATCCCCTAAACCCTAAACCCTACATCCCCTATTGATTTCTATAAGAGGCCAACCCATGAAGCTTGTCGGTCTGAGTTCTTCCTACGGCCCTGTCATGGCCTCAAAAACCCAGAGGGTCCATGTACCCAATAATTAGGTACTTGGGATTTGGGTAATGGTAGTTATAGTACAGGTTTTGGGTAAGTATATGATTATTGGGTACTTGGACCCTTAGGGATACATATACCTCCTAAGACTTGCCCGCAATATATCTTTCAATTCTGAGTATTTACTACTAAAAAGGAGGTAACTGAAGTCTTAGGTAAAATCTCTCTGAGGCCTCTGAGCACGGCTGCTTACAACTTGAGGGCCTGGTACCTGATCTGCATGGGACCTATGAACATGGGGTTGAAGGCTTAGGGTTTGGGGTGGGGTGCCGCGTGGTAAGCACCAGCCGGAATAAAATCTGCATTTCTTAGGCTAGCATGCTTGTTGCTGTTAGAAGTCGGGATAGTTTAGGATGGGCCCTCACCCACTACTAGAAACCACAAGGGATATTGGTAGTTACAGTAAAGTCCTTACATAGTCTTTATATACTGCTATTAGTGGTGGGGGGCCCAACCCAGGGGATGATGGTATCTGGAGATCTGCGATGGGGCTCAAACCCTTTGATCCCAAGCAGTGGAACTGGCTGGACTCAAAAAACAAACACTTCGTGATTTTGCACCCCTAGACTGCCAGATAGCGTATGAAGCAGTGATAAGCTGGTACTACATGTCTGGCAAGTTGGCAGTATGCTAAAGCACTGTTACTTGCAAGGTTCAATATACTTGAGATCATGCAAGATTTTTAGAATCAAGCGTATGACAAGGGTCCAGGGGTTTACGGTGTGAAGATAGCCTATCCTTAGCAAATTTATAAAAACCTCGAGTATTGTTGCGCTACCATTCAGCATTAGCATGATCATTTAAAGTCTGTGTTGGTCTCAGCGGACATACATACATCAGAAAAAGAAATATGTATTCAATAACATCGTAGACACTGAGAGAGCAGAGGATGAAAAGCAAACAGCCCAGCCAGCGACGAGCCATTTTGGAGAAGCAATAGGCCATCACAATGAACATCGGTATCCTAGGTTTTTGTGCCATGTCAGACTGAGGGCTTAGTGCCTAGGGTTACATTGCAGGGCCTCCTTTAAAGCACTAAAAGCGCTGGAAACAACCTGGATCGGCCTGAGTCAGAACTGACAGCAACAAAGCAGCTTCATTCTTAAACTCTCTTGGAGACGTTTGAAAAAATTAGGGCTCCACCACGTTAGAAGAAAGGGCTTACGGTCAAACTGCATAGACCCCAGACTATCCGACTTTGCATCTGTTTTTCCACTCGACCGTTCCTTCGCTTCTCCAGCACTATACACCCTAGCCTGCATGTCTATTTCGGGTTTAGGGCGAGTCGAAGTCTTGTTATTCCCAGCACAAACAGAAAATGTGAAACAATATGTGCGAAGCAAAGTTTTGCTAACATCTCGACAGCCTCAGCGCGCCTAGGCGAGGGACGTCCGCCACAAAAGCAAAGACTTTGAACACTGTCCTGGGTTCTACCAGGATAGGGATATGTAGGGGTATAAAGGGTTGTAGGGGTACATTGGGCTCAGGGATTGTGAAATTGGAGGTTGAGGTTTAGGGCTAAGGACCCTAATTTGGGAGTCTTATGCTGTCTGTTTGATAGATAACGCCTTCTTGTGTACCACCTAGAAATAGGAACTAAATTGAAGCCCTTGGGAAGGGTTTAGATCTCATGACACCTCACGATTTCCCAAACAAGGGGTTTTCTCAACATTATATATCCTAAGCCCCAAACCATATATCCTAGGAGCACATGAAGTTGGCGAATGGATGTACAGAACATCCAGGATGGGTTTCTTTAAAGCTATCAGGAACCACACTTCCTGGGAGCACGTGAAGTTTGGGATTGGATGGTGCAGGGCATCTGCGGGATGGGGTTTTCTTTCAAGCTATCAGGCGAAATTGGAAACTAAAATTCGGACACCAAGCCCTGAAACTGAAACCCGCTAAGCCCCCTGAACCACGGCCTTGGATCCCTCTTGGTATGATCCCTAGGCAATCCACGGTTGCAGTACTCGACGCTCATGACAAACCCTGGACCCCAAACCCTGCAGTAGTCCCCTCCCCTACTAATAACCCCCTCCAAATGCAATGGTACTTTAGGGGGTGCGGGGATTTACGGAGCGGATTCACATGCAATGATTATCGCTATGACGCCGCTATGGAAACCCAGTTTCCACTTTGTTTTGCATGTTCTATTTCATGCTCCGTTGTAGGGAAATACCCCTAACCCTCAATCCTAATTACACAGTAGCTTTCATTTTCTATTCCGCTCCCTCTATACGCCCCTAAATTGCTCTGAAGAATCCATATATTTATATAACTTATATAACCACTATATAGTTCACTATAGAATTCTCGTGACGCAGGCTTCTACATTAAGCTGAGCCCAGTTTTCTGCGTCTCGAAATCGCCTGCAGCAATCCGATCCAGCTGGGTGAAGATGCTGAAGAGCATTGGAGGAAAGGTGAGTCCTCAGATTTCCGCAGGAAAACGCTAAACTGTAAATCCTACCCTGAAGAAAACCTAAACCGTAAACTCCTCTAGTACGCCCCCACCGCATCCTCGACATCCCTTAATGTAAGGGCCTAGAATACTAGTAGTAGTACAAGTGCATGTGATATGTAAGGAGTATAAGGACGTAAGATTGGCATTTTTTCAGGGTTTCAGCCTGCAAATAGTATGCCTTCTTGAGCCCTGCCTGCAACTAAACTTTGTTTTGTCTTTAACAAACTTTTCGTTGGAAGTACTCCTCCCTCTGGTGTTGGCGTAGGGCATCAAGCGAGTTTATCCTCATGACATCCCCCCGAGAGACCCCAACTCAATGTTGAGTTATCTACTAACCAGAAATGAGGCCCTTTTGGGGTAATTTCCATATAGCCAACCTTTTGGCTATGCTACTCAACTTAGCTTTGAATAGGCTGCCCTATGAAACTGCAGTGGATCGCACCCGATTTCCCTTCCCACCTTCTTGCTCCTATACCTACAACTGTGACAACCACTACTTGCTGAAGCCAGGATCTCTTGGGGAAGTGAAACTCGTGGCCCAGGGATTTGACGACGTGGTCGCGAACATTTTCCCGAACGTTCGTGTTAAACGCGTCCAGATCAGTGAACCATTGGCCTCCGACAGAGACCACTCAAACAAACTAGCGTGGAAGTAGAACTTTAATCCCTTCAGACCTAAATTAACAGACCTTATTCCTTACAGGGCTATACCATACCAAAAATGAGAAGCACTCCTAAGGAGACAACAGCAAAGGGGTCTACATAGCCTATTCTCCTGCTCGAAAGGCGACATGTGGGGCGTCATGTTGGCTACGCTAACGGGCCTTGGCCATAAGTGATAAACTACAAATCTTATTAGCAAATAGAATCTACCGCTGGAATATGAACATGACTCCTGGCAATGATGATGCCAACTGCTGGAGTTTACAAGCTCCAAGGCCTATTCAAAAGTCCAAGCATGCCGGTGCCTACATCAGGTTTAGGGTGTGGGGTTTAAGCCTCAGAGTTTGGGGTTTAAGGTCTGGAGTTCAGGGTTTAGGCATCACATGTAGCCCGGCGGCGAATGGTATGGTAGACAGTCTCACGGTCAGATTCAAAGGCGCACCTCCAGGGTGCTGCTGTTGGGCTTCGTCCCCTTCTCTCAGAATGAACTCTCCACCCCCTTTTGCTAATGATAAAGATTCCCTTGTTTTTGCGAGACAACGTTGGAGATGTTTAGTCTTAGAGGGCGGAAGGTGGGTTCTCAACAAAAATATGAAATGTCGAGAGAGTGTTTGGGGCGCAGGGTGTGGGGCTTGGAGAAAGTAGGTTTGAGGGCTGCGACTACAAGAATCTCAATGTGCCAGCAAGGACGTGCAAGCCGTGGACCTTTTTCGAACATATCAGAGCTTCTTGCTATACCCTGCTAATCTGACGCCTCAGGTTTTGTCCGCAAAAAAAAATCCCAGAACGGCCTGGATTGGCGCACATCGAAAGTCTCCAGCTGCGTGGTCAAACTCCTCCTGGTTTGCGCGTACCTGCAAGAACCCAGCGCTTGAAGTCTCAGCTGTATGGCTAAGATCCGCAGCAATCTTGGAATTCGGACCTCCAAGTCGGGGTCTGGGATTGTTTCATCTAGTTCTGCATTTGATGTGGGTAGGATTATGAATGGTGCTGGTGCTGGTGCTGGCGCTGGTGTTGCTGCTGTTGCTGCTGCTGCCGCTGCCGCCGCTGCCGCTTCTCTTTGACACTGGGGCAATTCATCTGCCAAACTTTGCCAGTCTATTGGGTAAGCCCCAAATAATACTTTTGGGATATGCTACACTAAATGAGTTTTGGGATATACTACACAATATCACTTTTTTGGATACTGTATACTACTTCAGAACATGTCAAACAGAAGCGCTTGGCTAACAGCCAGGTCAATACCGACACATTACGTGCGATTTAGGAATGATTGCCACCTGCACCACACATCCCTTACTGCTGCCTGATTCCTCCACCCCTTAACTGGATAACGAATTGCAAGACATCAGCCCCGCAACCTGTCGATGGCCAATACAAAGATCACCGCGTTGAGCGCCAGAACGGGGAGGAGAGTTATGTTAGGCAGCCAGTGGAACATGCCCGACAGCAAGATCTGCCTTAGCGTTTGGCGTTTGAGACCCGATGTCTCGACATGTCCACTGAAGAACAGCAAGCACACGTACCTACGCATGCCCCCTGCTTTCCATGAGACTTGCACCTCATCTGCACTATGAGCTGAATATTGAGTCTTGAAATATACCACTGCCACATAGGATGGTAAACGCGCCTGCTGCCATTGCCACAGCTGCCACTGCATTAACCGTGTCCCCTAATCAATCCGATGAAGCCATGTAGACCTACAATCATTCCGTGCAAAAAGTGCACTCCACGCCTACCAGCTAGCTTCTGCCATTTGGGAATACAAGCTCCATGCCATCAGTAGCAAGTTAGTAAGCACTGAGTCAAGATCAAGTTCGGAGCCACAGTACCCCAGTCCTTCATTCTCCACGAAACAACGACCGAGCAATGATTTTCTGCATCTTTGGAAAGCAGCATCGGAAACTAGGGGTCCCTTGTAATCCTAGCATGTCAGGATGCCTGTTGTGAGGACAAAAGAGAGGGACACCAGTATTTTTCCCTAGACATCTGGGTGTACTTCCGCCCTCTACGCTGCGTAAGCGCTCAACTTTCTTTGCAAATCCTCACCCTGAACCTTACCCCAGGGATCCAAGTATACAAATAATCCCTACATTGGGTCCCAAAGTCTGTAAATATTACCTACNNGGCTATTTGGATCCCTAGGGTTGCACCTTCAACACTAATGAACTAATTTCATGGACAGGTGCAGCTCTCGGGTGAAGCACAGCAAGGCCACTGTAAACCAAGAAAAGAAAGCCGCCTGCGTTTGTTTCTCTTAACATACCCAAAGGGTCCATGTAGGTATATGGGATATACTTGGGCCTTAAAGTAGGTATATGGGAACCCCTTTGGGCCCTAAGTATATACCATATACCTACATGGACCCTTTGGGATACAGTATGC